AGTTCGCCAAGATCTCACCTCTCTCCCTTTGAAATTCATGGGTTCTGTTCTTAAACCGTCAGCGCTTCGCCTTTAAGTCCAAAATTCCAAATTACTTAACCAGCCCCCCTGCGTAGGGACGCTAGGAGGTATTTATAGGCCTCAGATGCTGTGTTTGCGAGTAAGATCTTATGATTTGAGTGTATCTTTAGTTAGTAATGACTTTATCACGTTTAAGGATAATCTCAAAGCAGTTAGGAAGCTAGTGGAATGCATGAATCTTGAGAAATTATCGAAAAACGCGTTTTGGGGAAATCTGCCTATGCGAGACAAGGCTGTGTGTCTTGGCCCCGAGACACATTTATGTGTCTTGGGTTCAAGACACACTGGTGTGTCTCGTTTTTCCATTTCATCGATTTGAGCGCTTTGTTGTTTCTTTATTCCTTTGTTTCGCATGTTCCTTTGCTTCCTTTTGGCATCAGATAATCTCCTTTAACTCGGATATCAACGTTCATCGTTTTCTCTTCATCTCGAGCTATATTCGGATACTTATAGGTAATTTTTGACGCATACAGACTATTTGGCAGAGATCCTCCAGCCCACACTTAGCTGGAAAATCTCACTCCTGCTAATACATGTCAATCCACAAGTTAACACCAACTCTTGGTACATATTTATCAATTCACATTGCAATCGCAAACACAAATAAACACATACCAATCCATAATCAATTGTACCCCGAAATTCAATTCACTTACTAAAAATCCATAATCAATCGGATATGTAACATTCATCTACAACATATCTAATAATCTTCATTGATCTTACCTGCTTGACACGAGCTCCTACAATCTCTTTATTTTTGGGTGTCAATAACGTCACTCACTTTGCTCTATCCTCTCGCCGCTTGACAAAATAGTGATTAAGTCTATAAAATGTCCTCACAACCAACACATGTATGGGCATTGCTCGAGCCCCCTTAAGTACCCCGTTGAAGCTTTCAGAACAATTAGTTGTCATCATGCACAACCAATTCCCTCTATCTTTACTTAGTGTTCACCGGTCAACATAATCACTTCCCAAACTACTCTCAATCCAGTCATGTGTAGCTTGAGATGTTGCCTTGATTTGATCCCGTATCCGATCATACACACATGTTTCGTGTGTACAACCCGCTTGCCAAAGAAGGTTTTGTAAATGTATCTGACCAAAGCTCTTTTTAAAATTAGCTCTAATGTGTCGTAAGCAATAGCGGTGATGGTGATGAGAGCCAAATCTCCTGTACAATGCTTTGGAATACCTTTCATCCTATCGGATATAAAAGTAATTTTCCTATGAGGCAACACATTAAAAATATATAATTGAATGCACGAAAAAACCACTCCTAATTTTTACTATTCTCGACCTCCATAACTGCGAAGGCCAAAGGAAATAAGTCACAATCTACATCTACTCCTGTAGCAACAAGCAATACACCTTTATATTTATCGTATAAGTGTGTGTCATCAATGCTAAGAACCGGTCGATAAAATTTAAATCCCTCGATCGAAGGACCAAATACCCAAAATATAGATGTGAATTGATGAACTTCCGGATTGATCTCTTTGATTATGAGTTTGTATTTAGATCCAGGATTGCTTCTTTTGATCGCATCAAGATATTGAGGTAGTGTCACGTAAGACTTCTCCTAATCACCAAAAAAATTTGTCATTGCAATTATCCTTTCATTCCATGCTTTACTATACGATATTTCAATGAACTCATTGTAGGCTGTCTAAAAATCAAAATAGATAGCTGATCCCCCATCAAATATCGATGATGAAAGTTACAATCTGACGATTTTCAGAATGCTATAATTCGAAGACTTTCACATAAATCGATGAAGATTACAATCTGACGACCTTCACAATAACCGGTGAAAGCTCTAGTTCAACAGCCTTCACAATCAACATCGTGAGTTACAATCTGACAACTCTCATATTTTTGAGCAGCCAAGACGAAGATCATTCAACAATGGTCTTTACAACGCTCTACAGAAGAGGCTACAAGTCAACTAGCCCCTTCTAAACACGGAAGCCATCTCCGTGTTCCAATTCTTGAAACGCAGGCGACCCCCGTGTTTTAATTCCTGAAATGCAGGCGGCCCCCGTGTTTCTAAGCTTCAACAAGCAAAACGCAGGCGACCTCCGCGTTTCCAATCCTCAGCAAACTAAACACAGGCGGCCCTCGTGTTTTTTAACATCCAACGGGTGCCCAACTCCGCGTCTCCACTCTAAAACACGGAGTTAGGGTCCTGAACGCCAACTTGGGCGTTGTTTGACTCATTCAACATGAGCTGAACGGTTCTAAAATCGTTTCCCATGATTTGGGGCAGTTACACCCCACTTAGGAGTGATTTAAGGGGCGGTTACACCCCCTTAATCCCCTATAAAAACGAGTAAACTCAACTGAGTTAAGGGTTGGAACTTCTTGGCTCGGATTGACCCTGAGCTTGGCAGCAAAGAGAGGATCTTTGGAGCATTCTCGGATCTGAAGATCGACCACTGGAGATTTCTTCTGGCCTTGGCTTATTAACCGATTTTTGGTTCAAATCAACTCTTTTACAGAGTTCTTCTAAACTCGTTCAGAGTTCTAAAACTTGCCACGTAAGTTCTCCACAACGTCAAATCGTGAGGAGAAGACATCGTTCCAGTGAATCAAAATGTCGGATCGTCAACGGAGAGCAAACTCGACGCGAGCATTCGAGGGACGCACTCCATCGCCACCGTGAAGAACCCAGCTTTAAATAAAGGGGAGAATCCAGATCATTCTCTTCTCTTTTGTAATTGGAATCCAATTGTAATTGAGGTCAAAGGAATACAAATTAAAATTTTCCTTCATTTCTTTTACTCCAAATTTTCCACCAAACACTCATATCTAGCACTCTCTCAATTACATTACCGAGAGTTAGTTTAAGCTTCTTTAATTTTGGCATAAGCAACCGCGCTATGTAAGAGGCAGATGCCCCACTGTGATCTTGCTCTAGTATCGGATTGCTACATGTGTGAACACCATAGTATTATGTGTTTCTAAAATGCCCATTATGTTTTTTTCCGGCAAATGCATATAACTTGCAAGGACATGCATAATCAACTTCATTTCCCTCAGCCTAACATTTCTTTTGTGTATTCATAAAACAGATTGCATCATAACTTGTGTAATTGCTTTTAATTTGCTTGAATTTGACATTCTTTTTGATTGAGTAATCATGAATCACATCAATTAATTGGCCCTTAGTCTCGAATAAATCATCAACTCTGAAAGGGACGTCATCATCTCCTCTATGAGTTGAACTTTGGCCAATGCACATATCTTATACTGTGAAATAACGAATCCACTCATCATCTTCAAACTCGTCGAGGGGTGGTTCTTCGTATTCAACATATTCATTATTAACATAAGTCTCATCAGGCCAATCCGGATTCTCTTCAACATCTTCACTCACAAATTGCATGTTATCAATTGGTGCAATATCTTGATCTTTACCTTCAGAGGCGTTGCTTCTTTCATCCTCTTCAATTGTTGCCCCTCTTAACGGTCTCATATTTTCATAAGGGACTTCATTGTTCATGAAGTTTGGCGTTCCACCGAATGAAGGTTCACCATTGTGATATTAAAATTGAGTCCGCTCCATTTCACTCGAAGAAGAAAGAAAATCATCAGACTCAATTCCTAAATCCAACATGCGTGAGAATTCTCCTGGAGGGTTGAATATTTGACACGAACTATATGGTAACTCTTTAATAAACAATTCTACCGTTGGTTACGCCTTGCTCAAATTAAATATAATACTCATGTGATGATCGTTTGAGATCTCAATTGCGGACGTTCTATCAAAAGTTATGGGCCAATTGCATATTATTTTTAGTCGATACTCTCGTGGGACAATTCTCGTAACTCGGTGTAATTCATTAATTAAGTCACGGTAACTATATGATTTCGAGATCATTAACGGCGTCGTTACCCCTCCGACGTACACTGACATATTATTCATTCCATAATTAATTTTCCCACTATAAGAGCAAGAAATAAAAATCATATTGTTTAATATATGCAAAAAAATTATATCATTTAAATGCAAAAAATTTAAAAAATATTATCAATTACAACCCTAAACCTCAAATTAAAACCAAAGATGCAAATAATCTCATATAATTTTGACCAAAAACCCTAAACCCCATATTGAAAATCCTAAACCCTAGAATTGAGCATTCTATGCCCTAAAAGTTTAATTTCAATTATAACAATCAACACACAAAACACTCGGACCACTACAAATAGAGTTCAAACCCTAGAAATTTATTTGAGAGAAAAACCTAGATTTCTACATGTTAAAAGAGGAGAGAATGAAGAGAAATTACCCTAGAAATCTTTCACAACGAATTTCAGCCGGTTGAAATTGAGATCAGTGGCACCACTATGAGAGAGCGACGGTTTTGGAGAAGAGGGAGGCGGCTGGGAATGATGGGCTTGGTGGGAGAAGGGTTTGAGTTCGTTTATATAGGGGGCAGGACTCAGAACAAGTAGTCGACGTTGGCAACTCCGACTATTCTATCACTTAGCCAATTTCCCACCTTTTTAACTTGCGGGGGAGGGGAGGGGTGACCACTCTCTGCTAAATGGTCAAGGTTGGAAACCCCGACCATTTCAAAGTAGGCATTTCGAAATGGTCGGGGTTCCCAACCCCGACCAAGTTTAATACGTGCTAAATTAGTCAGGGTTTTAAACCCCGACTAATTAGGTTTTTAATTTGTCAGCAAGGTCTAAAATAGCCGGGGTTGCCAACCCTGACTAATTAGGATCGCGTTACAAAAAAATCGACTCACTTTCTGGCCACGATGCTGACGTGACGAGAAAGAGAGTCGGTTTTTTAATAAAGTCTGAATAGGGTCGAAATTTAAGAATAAAGTTAGGATTGAGTTTATTTAGAAAATTTCTTCCTTCTGGCTTGCGTCTCAAAAAATTAGCGAAACCCCCCTAAGTTCTCTTTTCTGTTTTATATCTCCTCAGAAAAAGAATAGCCCTCCAAACCGGCACTAAACCCCTTTTAATACCCTACAATTCCCCTCTCACTCTCTAGAAAACAATGGCGAAAGGAGATGGAAGCGCGGCCAAAAGAGAAACAAGTGGTCGCTTCTCGAAATCCGAGGTAAACTAACAATTACCTTTCTCTAGTTATTGTAAGCTATGTTGCTTCAATCTTCATCTTTTGATTACTATCGGATTTAGCTTTCAACTGAATGTAGAATTGTTAAGATTTCAAGCTTTTTCTCCATCATCTCCCAGTTTTTGTGAACCCGACTCAGTCAGCTTCTCGCGAGGTGCTTTGAACCTAATGGAAATTAGAGGTTTTTATTCAATTTTGGGACATATTTTAGAGAAAAGAAAACATTTTTAAAATGTTTGTTAGGGAAAGTCTATGACTTTATATATAATCCACCTCATAGAAGGGGAAGAAGAAACCCATTAAGAATCTAACCCTACTTTACAGAAGAAGGACATGCACCAGTCGTGAGAATTTAGTTTTTTTTTAGTTTAATATGATCTAGAAATACGTAGTATCTGGAAAAAGAAATCAATGTATGATCTAAAAAGCTGTTTTTGCCCCTTAGTTGCTCATTGTTCGACTTTTGCTTACAATTTCTAATGTTTCAGGAAAAAAACTTCGGTAATAATGGGTCGGAAAAACTTATGGATTTTGCAAAAAACTTTTGAGGTTGAACAATGATGGAGCCTTCTCTAAGTCTCTCATTGAAGCAACAAGAAATTCCAAGTGTATTTTTTATCAGAATAAAAAATCTATGTGGGGGATTTGGGAAGATAATTCTTCAAAGGATATTGGGGCTGAGCAAGTTACAAAACAAGTGATGGTTTCTGAAAATGAAGTGTTGGTTGATCAGGATGTGGATGATGATGATAGTAAGAGTAAAGAGTCTGAGGTGGAGTTGAATGTCTCTTTGTCTCCTATCATTTCTGAAGATAATTTAGCTCATGAAATAGAAGAGTGTGTTTTAATTGAAGATTCTAAAGGCAAAGCTCTTATGGCTAATGAAAATAATGATGGTGAGAAATGGTTGCCAGTGCTTTTCAACAGTGAGGAAGTTTTAGAAAAGGAAGAGGACATTCCAATTATTCAGCCTCTGAATTCCTTACCAGGAGATCCTAGTTTCAATTCAAAAGTTGCTTATATCAGAAAATGTTCTAGGTTTGTGGCTAATGAACCTATGACTGCTTTGGACAGAGCTACTTCAAGAGCTGCTTTGAAAAATACTGATAAAAGTTCTCATGGAGCTTCTTCAAGTAATTTAGGTGAAAGTCCTTCTTTGGCTTCTTCTTTTGTTCCTATTCTATTTGATGTTTGTTCTGATAAGCAGTTAAAATTTTTTGCTTTAAACTGTGCCATTATTCTTGAACCTCAAGGGGATTTTGATCCCTTAAAAAATTGAGGCAAATGGAGCAGGAGAGAACTACTTTTGAGTAGGCTTTGCTTCCTTGTGTCTGAGGAGTTTGATATTATTCCTTATGTTGGTTACATGGAATGTAAGAGGGCTTGATTTGAGTACTAAAAGATTTAGAGTTAAAGATTTTTGTCAATTAAATAAATTTGAAATAATTTGTTTACAAGAAACAAAGTTGGGTTGTGTTGATGATAAAATTTTAAAAAGCCTAGGAGGTAATTTTTTTGAGTGGGTTTATATACCCTTCATTGGTGCTTCTGGTGGGATTATGATTAGTTGGAATAGTAACAAATGGAAGAAATTACAGGATTCTTCTGGTGTTTTTGTTTTGACTGTGGTCTTACAAAATAAGAGAAATGATTTTGTTTGGAACATTTCTTCAGTATATGGTCCTCACTGTAATAGCGAGAGAGCTCTGTTTTGGCAGGAGCTTAGAAATATCAAATATGATTTCTCAGGACCTTGGGTTGTGGTGGAGGGTTTTAATGTTACTATTAATGCTGCTGAAAGAAAGAGTAAAACTAATCATAGAAAAGAAATGGAAGAGTTTAAAGAGGTGATCAATGAGTTGGAATTGATTGATAGTCCTTTACATGGGAGACTGTTTACTTGGACTAATAAGAAAAGATTACCTTCTATGGCTAGACTAGATAGAGTTTTTTTGCAACTCTGAATGAGAAGATGTTTTTCCTTTTTCCAGACAACAAGGCCTTAGTAGTGAATTATCTGATCATGCTTCAATTAGTTTTGATTGTGGGAATAATCAACAATATGTTAAAAGCTTCAGGTTTGAGAAAGTTTGGTTACAATCTGAAAAGTTTAAGAAGGGTGTGCCTTTGTGGTGGAAGTGTGCGCCTAAAAGCTCATCAGTTGCTAAGAATATTGTTGGTAAATTGAGATTTATGAGAAAGTGCATCAAGCAATGAATTCATTCCAATTTTTATAGTGTTAAATAAAAAAGGAGTTGTTGGATAATCTCTTAGAATGGGAAGTTTTAGAGGAAAATAGAGATTTGGATGATGATGAATTAATTAAGAAAAATGATATTTCCATTTAGTTGAATGAGAATTTGCTACAAGAGGAGCAAATGTGGAAGCAAAGATCTAAAGCACATTGGCTAAAAGAAGAGGACAATAACACTGCATATTTTCATAAAATTGCTAATGGTAGGAAAAAGAATAATTTGATTGCTTCAATTACTGTTAATAGTGTAATGGTTAGTTCTGAAGAAGGTATAGCTCAGAATTTTTCAAATCATTATAAACAGATCTTTGGTTAGAATGAGCCTTATAGATGCCAACTTGAGTGGAATAGGTTATTTCCTATGGTAGAATGGGGTCCTAATGATATTGAAATCTATTTTTCTGAGGAGGAAGTTTATAAAGCAGTGTTTGATATGAACGGGAATAAATCCCCTGGACCAGATGGATTTCCTGTTTTATTTTTTCAAGTTTTTTGGGATACGCTGAAAAAAAATGTTATGAAGCTTTTTGAGGAGTTTTATGAGGGCAATTTGGAGATCAATAAGCTCAATTATGCTCATATTGTGCTTATTCTAAAAAAATGAGGCTATTACGGTCAATGATTATAGACACATCAGCCTTCTAAATATTATATTTAAAGTGATTACCAAAGTTTTGACTAATAGATTAAATTCTAAGCTTGAATGGCTTATTGACCCGGTTCAATCTGGTTTCATCAAAAACAGATTTTTGCTTTTTGCTTGATGAAGTGGCTGCAACTCAAGAGATTATTAATGATTACTTTCAGAATAATAAAAGTGGAGGAATTTTATTAAAATTAGATTTTGTGAAAGCATATGACATGTTGGACTGTGATTTTATTTTAGAGGTTTTGAAAACTAAAAATTTTGGTGTTAAATGGTTAAATTGGGTTAATTTGTGCTTAAGAGGGGGTATGTCTGCCATTAATATTAATGGTAAACCTGGGAGTTGGATTATGTCCAAAAGAGGTGTTCGTCAAGGAGATCCTCTTTCACCTCTTCTTTTTGTTCTAGCAGCTGATTCTTTCACCAGAATGTTGAATCTTACAGTTAAGTCTCATCTTATTAAAGATTTAGGCCCTGTTAATATGGCTCACAAAGTTTGTTGTTTGCAATATGCAGATGACACTTTGATCTTTTGTAAAAATAAAAAAGAACAGTTAACAGTTTAAAGTCGATTTTATACTGTTTTGAACTTGCTTCTGTATTAGAAATAAGTTTTAAAAAGAGTTTTCTTATAGCTCTTGAGAATAATGATTCTTTACAATAAAGTTTGGCCACTATGTTGAATTGTAAAAGTGAGAATCTTCCCATTACTTATTTGGGAGTACCTCTGAGACCTAAAAAATTAAAAAAAATGATTAATCTCCTCTGATTGAGAAGATTAAAGAAGGTTAGCTTTGTGGAAAGGCAAAACCTTATCTAGAGGGGATAGACTAGTTTTAGTTAACTCAGTTCTATCTTCTATGCCTATTTTTTGGTTATCATTTTTCTTATTTCCTTCTTGGGTTATTGATAAAATTGATAAGATGAGAAGAAGATTTTTGTGGATTGGGTCTTTAGATCATAAGAGTTGTACAAATCTGATTAAATGGGAGGAGATATGTAGACCTAAGCTTTTTGGTGGTTTGGGAGTTATAAATCTGAAAATCATGAATAAAAGCCTTGTTAGGGAAATGGCTTTGGAAATGGTTTGATGATAAACATGTGCTTTGGAAACAAATCAGCTTTTATAAATATTTTGAAAGAAAAGATTGGAGGGAATATTTTCATTCTGGTAGAGTGCATTTATCTTATTTCTGGAAAATTTTGTTTGTTAATGCTGAAAGCTTCTTATGCAGTATTCATGTGGAGGTGGGAGAAAGAAATCATACTTTATTTTGGCTTGATAAATGGTTAGGCTCATCTACTCTTGCTTCTTTATTTCCATCTCTATTTATTACCACTTCTTTTCCGTTTGCTTCTATCAGCAATCTGAGAAAGAAAAGAAATAATATGTGGATCATATTCAGTTCAAGAGGCAATTGACTGGAAATTTGGTTTTTCAGTTTTTGAATATGTTGAATCTCATTAAGGACTTAAATTTGGAACAAAGAGAAGACAAAAAAATTTGGTTATGGGAGGCAAATGGTATTTACACTGTAAAATCTTTATATTAATTTCTTATTGATGGAGGTTTAAGGTTTGATTATGCAAAAAATTAGAAACTTTCAATTCCTTTAAAAAAGTGAAAATTCTGGTTTGGTTGGCTTTACGACAAAGTTTAAATACAAAAGATATTCTGGATAAAAAAGAAATTCATTTAGAGATGACTTGTTGTTTATGCTCTAAATCAGAAGAGAGTCATACACATTTATTTGTTGAATGTGAGTTTGTATACTCAATTTGGAGATCTATACAGTTCAAATTAAAAATTGAGAAAGATTTTAAAATGAAGTCTTTAAAAGAAGTTTGGATTAATTGGGTTGCTGGTGAGAATGATGATTGCAATATGGAAAGAGATATTATTTGTTCTGTTGTTTGGTGCATATGACAAGAGCGTAATGATAGACTCTTTTCTAACAAGAAGAAGATGTCTCTTGAGCTTTTGAGCAAGATTTTGACATTCTCAACCTTTTGGTTAGGTTCTAAGAGTATTTCTGCTCGAGCGGTTAGGCTTCAAGAGAGAAGAAGAAAAATGAATGAGCTATCTGGAGCTTTACAAGTGTCTCAAGAGGGCTTAGAAGCAGTGGTGTAGCCAGGAATTAGAGCTTGAGGGGTCACACTTATTTCCTCTCTTAAAAAATGTTAAAAGAACTATATCAATAATCACATTCGATAATACCAAGATCTTTTTGAGAGAAAGGAGTCTCAAACTCAAAAACCCCAACATAATACTACTAAAAAAGGAAAATAATAGAGTACTCACAACGGCAAAAGGAACTCTAGTTTAAGTTATATGCTCCATTTTGAGCTACTAAGATATAGCCATGTGATGAAGGCCACAATGCTAGTCACATCAAAAGGTGTGGACTTCACCTCTCTATCTCTTGATAGTTCATTTTGCTAAATGAGCCACCATCTCATAACCATCATTCCCATATACAAAATGATTGTTTACTAAAAAAGGAAAATAATAGAGTACTCACAACGGCAAAAGGAACTCTAGTTTAAGTTATATGCTCCATTTTCCATCGGTTGCTCTATTGTATTAATATATTAAATAAGTAAGTTTGATAGATATGATGCATTCGTGTAGTTTTGTTTAGTTATTGAGAGTGTCAATGGACCATTATATAGAGAAAGGGTTATCAATTGGCAATGAGGAAATACCATAAAATATATATAATTATGGCTTTATAATAGGTAGCCTCATCATGTAAATTTAATTGGCTAATGGAGTTTCAAGAATAAGGAAAATATCGAGTATGCTACAAATTTTTTACTATTATTGCTCTACTAGACAAAAAAAAGTGAGATCTATAGAAACTGATAATTTCTCTTTGTGATATATAAGAAACGGCCTTATTTTTTGGGGTCTAGCAATACAACTCATGTAGATAATTATCACTACTACTAGAATAATAGGCGTCAAAACAAAAGTTAATGCTGCTAAATAAAATAGTTTAGTTAGTTTACCATTTGTGCCTACTATCTACAATATATTTTATTTATTCTTCACCTTAATTTATATTGCATAAAAATGCAAGTTTCGTGATGATGTTTCAATGGAGCTGACTAGAATGGTGTTGTTCATTGAATGTTTAATGAATAGTGATACCTTTTACTTCACCGATTCAAGCACATAAGAACAATAAATCTTGTTATATGATGACAAAGGAGCTTTTTAAAAAAAACTACTCACACTTTAGCAAAACTTAACCAAAGGTAGATGAAATATATTTTTTTTAGTGATCATAGATCTTCATATAGCAAGAATAGGAGGAGGCTCAAATGTTTTTGGGAAAACATTTTCCGGAAGACTTTTCAAGAACTTCCAAAGTGTTATGGAGAGCAAAACATTCCTTGCTAGAGATAAAATTCTCCTTCTGCTGCATATGCCTCACCAACAACTAGCAGCCCATAGGAACGAATGCAGATGTGCTATTTTGAATTAGTACGTGCATCTTTTACAGCCTGTTTGGATGGAGGGTAGAGAGGGGGAAGGGAAGAGAAATTTCATTTTATATTTGATTGGGAGTTTCATTTAGGAGGGTAGAGGAGAAGAATGGAGGGAAAAATTGGGCCAAAATCTTACACCCCAATTTGGGGTGTAATGGAGGGGAAGGGAAGGAAGGAGAATTTTTCCCCTTCCTTCCCCTTCCTTCTCTTCCCTAAAGTGAACTCCCAAACATGCCATTAATCTCATGTCATTACTGTTTCTACCAACTGATTGGTGTTGGCTTGGTCGATGGGAGAGTCTGATTCGTACAAAAGAGAGAATGGTCTAGGGTACAAATACTAGAATGAGACACACTACTTCTGAGAGAATGTTCTTAATATTTTTAACTTCAAGGTTGCAAACCTTAAGTCAGATACCTCTTAGAATTCTCTATGTTATTGCATTGTTTTCAAGTGTGAATTCTTTATTAGTGTTCCATGCTTAAGCAGTTTGGGCATCTGGCTTTGTCTGATCATTATTTCTAGGAATTTTATTTGCCAACACTTTGTTTTTTCAATTGGCCTTAACATGCGATGAGTTTCCATTTTAGGCATTGTGAACATTTCAACATGTATCTATAATTTTATGGGCCCTTTTTTCATTCATTCGTCATTTTTGTAGTACTAGTTTTTATGCACGTGCAACGCACGTGATTAAATATCAAAATGATTTATTTTTTATTTTATTACTATAAATAAGTCATATTCATTTTAATTATTAGATTTGCTATAATTTTTATTTAAACATTATTAAAAAATTATTGTAATAGTTTCTTGTGCTAAATAGGGATCAATATACTTAACCGGGATATCATAATTAATTTTCACAGAAAAAGATATCAGTTGACATAGTAATATCTTCAAGCATAATAGTAAAAGAAAATAAGTTAAATTGATACTATATGTCATATTCTAAACTCTACTAATCCCAAGTTGTATTATAGAGTCAAGGATGAATAACAATATCATTATGAACTATAGTTCTAGCAATAAAAAATAACATTTCTTATTGCGTTGAAAATAGAATTACACTGTACTTTTCAACATTATAAGCTCATGTTTTATAATAAACAATCTCAAAAGCAAACATAAAAAAGAAGTACGATAAACATGATACACACACATATATATATATATATATATATATATATATATATATATAAAAGATCTCAGCCTACATTATTTGATAGACTTAAACTAATAAAAAGACAAACTAAAGATTAATGGTGACTATAGTATAATTTTATATGATAAAAGCAATCACATAAGCATACAAAAATACTAAAAATTTTGCATGCAAATTCCTTCTAAAAATTTCTAATTTTACTCAAAAATTAAGTTATAGTATAAACTGTTCAAAAAGTATTATCATTTATTCTTTTTATTTCATATTTTAATTGAGCCAAGATCAATCTTTCTCCATCTTTATCTTTTTATTAGGTAATTCTAGAGTAACATCTTCATCATCTACATCAATTGTGATATCAGATTGGAATTGAATTTCTTAAAATTAATCTCTTCAAATAATAAAGTCCAACACCAAAATCAACCCATTTGTCTTTTGCTCCCCCCTCAAAAATCATATCCCTTATCCATGAAATGGGTTTGTACATAATGAAGAACAAAAGACAATGTCAAGAGACAAAAAAGAAAAAAAAAGGAATTGAATAAGAATCGCTAGGTTTGTACATGATAAAGAGCAAAAGACAAGATAAGAGTCCAGAAATCGCTAGGTTTGTACATGATAAAGAGCAAAAGACAAGATAAGAGTCCAGAAATATATTAGGATATACTTGGATCAATTAAATTATATTATTACTCATAATTGATATGCATAAGAGACAAAATGTGTTGACAATTTTAAACTATAAAACAAAATGTATGAGCCCTCTAACATAATTTTTTAATACAAGCAATCCCCAAGATTAATTTTAAAAATCTCTTGGTTTTGTGGAAGAGTTTGGGTGTAAAGAATAAATGTTAAATTATCTAATCCGATTAAAGTAGGATCATAAAAATTAACCCCATACATGAAATTTATTTTAATCAAAACTCATATATAAAAGTATTATAATTGACATTGAGTTCAAAGATACGTGTGAGATTTTCTTTGACTTTTATACAAACAATATCTATTTAAATAATAATAGTATAATTAAACTTTGTGATCTGAAAAGAAATTAAACATACAATACAATTAATCTATTTTAATAAGAAGAACATAACTAAGACACATACTTGTTGAAGGAGATAAAAGTACTGTGAAAATTGTTATAATTTTTTAATCTGAGAAAAAATCAAATATACAATATAATTAATTGCTTTAAAATAATCTAATCTAATCTAATAACAATGGCACATGCCTGTAGAAGAAAATAAAAGTGCTAAAGAAATTATTGTAATTTCTTGGCTTATATATTGGTATATGATGTTGCATGTAAAAGGATAACAATTATAAATAGAGTTCTATTAAATAATAATAGTATAATTAAATTTTGAAAATAAGTGTGTAGTACTTTGAACTACTTTAATTTTAGTCGGTGAGAGATCGTCACTTTGTGTGTAATTATTAATCATATAGAATAGTTATTTGCAGATTGGCATTATCAATCATGTAGCACGTGAATATTGTTTACAGATTGATCATTGATCACATATAAAAACGAGGGGGTAAATTTAGCATTTAATAAATCCTCTAATTAACCTAAGCGTACAGTGAACTACTTGAATTTTAGTCGGTCAGAGATCGTCACGTTGTGTGTAATTATTAATCATATAGCATGTGAATAATTGTTCTCAGTTTGACATTATTAATCATGTAGCACATGAATAATTGTTTGCAGTTTGATCATTGATCAGTGATATTTAATAAATCGTCTAATTTACCTAAGTTGCTCTTTCATTCAGGTTTATTTTTTAATTTAAACTATATTCTTATCTTCATACTATGTATATCCAATAAGAATTCATCAATTTATCAACTTACTCTTACTTAATGGATTAGTATTTGAATTCCAATGGTATTTTTGTCTATTAAAAGATTTTTCCGAACTCGTGTTTTTAAAGGAAGTATGATATTAGTATGGCTTGTAGCATTGGTGGTATTTTGAACATAACACCACTTGTTGTTGGAACTTAAGCTGACTTCCCTTTATTATTTCAGATTTATTATTTCTGGTGTAATGCTATTTTTCTTTTAACTCTCAACAGATAAAACAGATGGAGAAATTACTTGAAGAGGGAAAAGATGACCTGTTAGATGAAAAATTCCACCAGAAGCTTGCCGAGGAATTCAAGTGAGTCCAGACTCAAGTCTGTTAGTAGTCTTTTAACCATCCCATCACAAATTTCATAGATGAGCACATGCTAATCTATTCAAGCTCGAACAGAAACTATGCAGAAAAGAGGAAAAATAGAACTAGGGAATCGACCTTAATTCTTAATAACATCTATAATATGAAACTGATTGTTTCCTGCACTGTTGTGAAATCCTATACCAGCCGTTTGCCAAATCGAGCTGGAAACAAGGCTATACAAATGAAGCAGGTCCCTTCCTCCTCCTTTTGTCTTTTCGAAATAAGGCAAAATACTATATGCTGGTTGTTTGTCATCGATATCACATGATGTTGTTTCTTTTGCCCATGTTTCGTGTAGGTTCAAAGATGGTTCACAAAGAGGAAAAATCCCTCATCTGAAAATACTGATTCATATCACTCTTCAGAAGATTTGGTTACTGCTGTGGATACAAGCCAGTCTGTTAGTGCTGCTCCTGAAAGTTCTTCTGACATGCCTGGAGGTGCCATTTAGTTTTCCTTTTTCTTTGTTCCAGTCAGACATATTTTGTTTATAATCTACTTTCGAGGTAATCTTATCAAAGTGGCCGTGTTCCTTAGTGTGCGGAAATACTTCATATGAGATGTTTTTTACCTTGAACAAAATGCTTTTCCAATTACCACTTAATATAGCTACCTAATGTTTGTTGCAAAGTTGATTTTGGGTATGATAGTGCAAATTGGTTAAATTACGTCCTCGTCCAAAAAGTTAGAGACCAATATCTCAATCTGCACTTCTTGTAGTATGGTTGTTATGTTATTCACAATGCACAACAGCCAGGCAGCAGGATCTATGAATTCTCATGTCATTTGGAATTCAGCAGCTTAACTACACCCAGTTAAAATGCATTGAGGGTCATTATCCCCATTCTCAAATAAAACTCATAAAACAGCATAATGTCGGTCAGCTCGAAGCGTCTCAACTTGCATCGAGGGTCATATATGAATCCGAAATTCATCTAACAAAGTGGGACTTTTTATATACAACTTTTTTTTTAGCTTGGTACTGAATTGAGATTTAAAGTTATAAACTGAAGTGTCCTCTCATTTTATGGACTTCTATCAGTTATTAGCACAATGGTAAGTGCTCTAGGCTTCTAGTCATATCGGACAATACATGGTATATAATTCAAACAGATTGTTTTAATTGGGCAAGTTATTAATTTGATTTTTTTGGGCGTCCCCTTCTCTCCCTCCCTCACTTATATCACATGTTTGGTAGATGACTTAACCATATATGTCAGGAACGTGGGACTCTATAGCGTTCAATCGTCCCATAACGCGGTACACTAGCGAATTAGGTCGCATACCCAACGACCTGATTTGGAATTCAAATTAGTTAATATTTTGGGAAAAAACAACCATTTTCAGAAAAATAAGCAACAGAAAATGTACCATAATTGCAACAATAAAATTCTTTTACCATTATTGACCCTTGAATTTGACTCTCGCTAAAAATTGTATGTTAAGGAACTTAGATTCCTACATTAAAAACCGAACCTGAAGCATGCTACGTTTCCTAGCATAGCGGTATAAGCCTACCTCTCTCGTACCCCATTCCATATAAGTCGCGTATCACGCTTCCGTTTCTGTTCCCTGAACTAGAACATATTGGGTTCCATACAACTATGGACTTAACTATTTTAGCAATTGTACTTCTCAAGAGTCAAGGTCCACTTACATTAAGGGGGTGTTTGGTTAAATGAAGGTGACTCAAATGTGTGAAAGTCACTTATTTTTGCAAGTGTGAAAGTAAAATGCAATGTTTGTTTGTAAAAATGAATTAATCTTGGAACTAGGAAAATAAAGATGACGTGGCAATTATTTATTTATTTGTTATTTAAATTCATATTACACTCTAAACTCTAATAATTATTCTGGTAACAACTAAAGAACAAATTGAAAGCCTCAGGTATATATATCATCAATTACTTGTACTAATTTTTATAGATTCTTTGTATTCTGTATTTTTTTACTTATGTACTTTATATTTTTTTAATAACGTAATGGGTTATTAAATGCCTAGTCATGTTACAACTGTACAACAATCACGCTAAAATGTGTAGTCATGTTCATAAATTGTCTAATTCGTACTATATACATGACATAACAATGTACACAGCTATTAAATGCTATAAAAGAAATAATATAATTAGCAGGTAAGAAAATTTTTGGGGGAGGTGTTTGTTTCCACCGAATAACATGGGAAAAATAAGGTAAGATAAATAATAAATATACTAATAAATAAGGAGTGGTCCCCACTTTTTTCTCACTTTCACTTGACTTCATCACTTTTTTAGGGGAACTTAAATATGCATTAGAGCTGATATGGACTCATTTTAACATTTCACTTTCAAAATTACTTTCAATAAAACAAACACCAAAAGTCTTAAAATCATTTCACTTTCACACTTTTACAATTCACTTTCATAAAAGCATACACCTCCTAAATGCTTGTGCTGATGTTCTCAAGTGCATTAAATGCATTGTAAAGCAAACAATTCGTACATGACTTTGAAGATATTAAACAATTTCTCTTTTCGAGAGCACATGTTGGGAAACATAGGCATCACCTTTTGATAAGTAGGTTTTAACAAATCAGAAGTAAATAAATTCACAGAACATATCTTTTTCTTACAAAAGATACATAACTATACGTAAGGACCTTGAAGGGTAGTGGCAAAGCACATATGAATATGATAGCATAAGAGGTGAGGGGACCTTGAAGGGTAGTGGCAAAGTACATATGATAGCATAAGAGGTGAGGAGACGAGACTGATGAAATCAACCTGGATGTTATCATCTGACATATCCTGTCTGTCCATAAAGGAGGCATCAGGAACAATCGGATCCTATGTTACCCGGGTACTTCTATAATGAAGTCGTACCCGTACCGGACACGTACCTCACGCTTTCCCATACCCAAACTTCATGAACACTTCTTGAATACATGCATGCATTTATTACAACATGTACTCAATTATGATATGTGTTAATTTAAAACAATGTTTTAAATGTCGGATGTCGGGTTCATGTCGGTCGGCCAAAATTCATGTCGGATAGTGAAAATCGGGGATATATCGGGGGACATGAAAAAAATATCGGATTGCCATATCGGATAGGTTGATATAATATCATAAATGGAATCTTCACATACTTGATAATTATATTGTCTAAACATATGAAAAAGTACATAACTTATTGATGTTAGGATCACTAACCAATTGTAGACACCTGATTTCCGAGTCGGGTTTTTCAAACTTGACCCAATAAGCTTAAAACCGCTTTTTCTAAAATTTGGCCGATATTTCTTGGCCGCAATGGCGCCCGACATACCCGATATTTTCCGACATGTCCCCGATATGACCTCAGAAACACAGAGCTTACACTTCACATCCGTCTTTTGAAACTAATGAGATACGGGTCGGATTCGTTTCAGTCCATACCCAAGTTTAAAACTATATAGTTAATGGGTCGTTTAGATGTCTAGGAAAAAAAATGAGTAGTTTACAATTCACGATAATCAATATGATAAAAGAAACTCAAAAATGTGATCGGAATTTTAATTCTAATGACACATGAAGGGGGAAAAAATTATCTTATGTACAGTATTAATTCAATATATATATGTAGTCATGTTCACATACCCTACATTTTATAGTTTTGTCATGTCTCGTACCCGCACCCGTACAAGTACCCGTGCCCGTTTCCATGCAACTTAGATCGGATCAGACAACGATTTCATGGTTTCATCTGCTGTATATTGCCTGATATCATCTACATCTATATTTTATTTCTTTATTACTTATGTGGTAAAATATATCAGCTAGTGAATTCTCATTAGCTTTTAACAGTGCTGGATACTTTGAAACTTTTTCTTTTACATTTTATAATCCAACTAGCATATTGGCACGTGCATACAAATAAAAATAAACCAGTTCCTCACATGTAAGTATATCAATTGAATCTCTATTATAAAAATTCAAAAGTTTATATATTTTAAGGTTTAATCTCAGAATAAATCAGACTTTATAAATAATTTTGTAATGGTGTTATTCTTAATTTATCAAGTTAACTGTATTTTGATTTTACATCTTTGAATCTTGTTATTCTTAGATTGGACCCACAAAAAGATTTAATTGACTTAAGGACCTAAGTTGAAATATCAAAGGTGTATTAGAGAAACTGAAATGATTTAAGTACCTAATTTGAAAATATCAAGATTTGAAGCTTAATATCAAAATTAAAAATTTTACAAACTTACATAAAATAAGTATGAAATTTTGTAAGGCTTATCATTTAAAGTTTGTACTTGTCCATGAGGGGACAATGAAAATCATATCAAGTTTGCAATTGCCTTCATAGAACCTTCTGGAATTAGTGAGAGGGGAGGGGAGGGATTAGCAAATGACAAAATTGCCCTTTGGAATAGAAGCATGAAGCAAAGGAATGTCCACCACTCATCCAATTTTGATTTGCCCTCCATTGGCTTTTAATAATGTAGTATAGATGCATTTGGAATGCTATATGTAAAGTACTCTTTCACGTGGAGTTAAGCAAATATTTGTGGTAAGTTATTGTGGTGTGGAATGTATGGCTTGCTTTGAAGGTCATGATT